TCCAAAACTTCTGAAATTTTTTATGCAAACTTGTCTAGCTGAGTCCTTTATGCAAGCCAAGTTTCAGATCAAAATTCGAATGTAAAGCTTTGCTGCCAATGTGGGCATACTATAGAGAAAATTCACTGGAAGCTCAATATCTCCTCAGAAACAAGCCAGAAACCCGAACTTTTTTTACCATAGACATAGCTCACTATGGGCTACAAGATGCGCGAAACCCCGGTTGAAAAGCGCTCCTTCAGCTGGGAATGTTCCCTGGTAAGATTTAGGACTTGCAATGTAAAGAATTGTGCATTATTTTCCGACATCGTTTCATGGACTTGGAAAATTCTTCCTTGTACACTTCTAACGGTAAGACAAACAGGACAAATGTGAGCATAGGTGGAATGAATGAAATAAAGTAACCAACAAGTAATAGCCATGAGGTGTGAGCCGATTTCACATAACCCGAAGCAAAGGCAATGATCAGTCTTGGGCAAGAAAAAGATGAGCACGAATGGACCAATCAGAAGATAATAGTATTGTCGACATAGTTCACGCAGGTGTTGTATGTATGTTTCGTGAGTTTGGATGGATGCTCGTTGTCTAGCATACATCATGATAATAAGAATAACCGAGATACAATTGATGATAAAAGGCATACAAAAATGAAAACCATGTACGACAGAATTACAGACTCGGAAATTGCGCGAATAGGTGACAATACACCAAATTCGACTTTCATCATCATCATCGTCGTCAATTAGACGCCGATGAATGGGATCGTGAATAGCTGTGCTAATTGTGAACATTAGAAGACCAAATATTGTATATTTCGTCATGTGTTTGCTTCTCTTCTTGTCAAAATTGACTCCTTTTATTATAATTATTGCTCGTTCGGTATTCACAAATGTAGTCAACCATTGATCCATGCTAAGGCATACTCGCAGAAGCCAATCGATCGAAATACACTACAAATATAGAAACGCATGATTTCTTATAAGTGTCATTTGTGCAATGATGAGTATCCAAAATTTGAGTGCAAAGATAATTGTCGTCAGCAGAGTAGTAATAGATGAAGCAAAGAGATAAATGCCACAGCCGACATCCCGAAGCTTTTTGCTCCTAAATGTCATCACAGAAAGAGCGCCATTTATGAGTCCTACCGTGGTCATGACTACAGTCAACGACATACTGATTAGCACAGCAAGTGGTTGATGCACAATGCTAATGTGTGCCAGAATATGATAACTCAAAATAGCATCAACTGAAAGACCAAAGTCATCTGTGCTAAATTGACATCGTCTCCCATAGAAACACATAGGACATACACACATCGATGTTTGTGCACAAATTGGATTGTTTTGAAAACACAGAGCCCCATTTTCACAACTGCTGTGACCGAAACAATCGTATCTTATCTCGTGATCAAAATCGAAACAGTTGGCTAAACGTTGTTGACCATAGTCGTCACACAAGCACAGATACTTTTCATCGTAGAAACAAGACAGAGTTGGTAAACGTCTCTGGTATGGCACATGATAATACTTTATACGACGAAGCATATGTAACTTGACGACTGTCTCATTGAACACTTCCCTTATATGTGCACAACGATCCGATGAATCGACCATTGTGGTAAGGACGATTGATCTGTTGTGTGTCCGTTGAACCACTGCCACATAGTAGGTTGTATTGAAAAGTTCGAGAAAGGCAAGGTGAAATAGATGTGACCAGTGTACGGTGACCGAATTTCTATTAATAGGAACGGATTTGAAAATGGTTACGCGCTCAGGTGGACCATCATTGATTACTTGAATAAAGTGAAGGAGCATCAATTGTGGTAAAGTCATATCTTTTTGGAATGAGACGATGATATCGGTGTCAGTTGCTTCACAATTATCTCCACTGAAACCTTTCGGATAGATGCATGTGAATTTCCTATCGGATGCACTATGTTCATCGATTGGTATGCATTGATCATCATTATGATATACAGCATTTCGATTGGGATGACATATCATATTATCAAGTAGACATCGAGAACCGAAACTATTGATCGAACAAATGCACACAGATCGATTTTTGACTGATACATCGATGTACAGAGAACTAGGGGAGCATGCATCCGTGTATGGAATCGAACAATGTTTTCCAGATCATCCTCGAAGACATTGACAAAAACCAGTGTTGTTCGGATCATCGACATACTTGATACATTGGCCATAAATACACTGACGATCTAAACAACTTTCAATACTCTCTCTACTACGTGGAATCTTAAATTGAGTGGCGATACGGTGGACAGGCAAGAATGAGAAAGTGAGTGGTAGTAGCCAACTTCCTCGGTAGGCTAATGAAATCTTTTCCTAGATATCGATATGCATTGAATAGTGTTTCGAGTGACTTTTTGGTCGAGTTGAATAAAGTAAATATATATTGAATTTGATTTTACAGTCTCGCATGGGTAAATAACTGAGTTGTTCATGAGAATGAATGATTCGTTCGTCGCTGTCGTCGATCAGCGCAACATTAAGAACAAATAATGTACTCCAGGCATCAGACAATGCTCGTAATTGCATAGTGAGGCTGACTCGTTGGTTTTGGTACTGACACATGTCACCGTAAAAGCTCGGTGGACAGAGACATGTGGTTGTTGTTAAGTTTTTTTCGTTGTTCAACCAGACTCGTAATACAAGACCACGATGGCAACGTCGATGGTACTGACGAGGAATATATGAGTGTGGGAACACTGTACTTTTGTCGCGTTTTTGTTGTGCTCGATCGAGTTGCAAACTTTGTCGAGTGAAAAATGTACAATCTGCATTTTCTCTCAATATGCGGGACGTACACAAAGAAACTTTTCGACACCAGATCGAAACGGTGCATTGTCCTCGTTACAAACTGGTTTGTCTAGCGTAAAATTTCGGTTTTTATTGCAAATTTGTTCATCATCTCCGTGTGCACAGTGATAATAGTTATCACAACTGATCGGCAATGGTACACTCATTACTGCTATCGTTCTTACAATAAAAATTTCCGATTTCGTATATATTGTGATCTGTTTGACATAGTTTTGGTTCGTCGGTAGCACCAAGACAATCGACATGACCATCGTTGGCTTTTTTTAAAGGCAGACACATCAGTTGACTCATGTTAGGTGAAACACACATGTGATGATGGCGAGGACAGTTTAATAATAGCCATGGATCACAATCGACTTCATCGTCACCATCGGGACAATTCCAGTAACCATCGCAGCGCGTGTAAGTGCTGTTGCACTGCCATTGTTCACATTCCCTTTCGTCGGTTTCATTTCGACCATCAATGGTCACGAGTATCAGCTCAGTAAAACCATCACACATTGTCGGAAATGAAATATTCTTTCTCGCAAACTGCACTTTAGGAAACTCATCGTCACATAAGTCCTCGCCATACATTGAACAATCGCATAAACCATTTCCAACAAGATAATGAGAAATGCATTCATTCGTTGTTTCACATCGAAAATACTTTCCTAATCCTTCGAAACGGCAAGTTTTATCGTCAATGATGAAGCCGCCATCGTCAGAATAAAGGCAATCCTTAAAGCCATCATTGATACGATTCTTTGAGATGCATTTGGATGAGTTGAAACATTGATACATAGTTGATCTGTGACAAAATGTCGAGTCATTGTTGACAATTGAATTGCATCTCCAAAATAATTCGTACATGGGTATGACATATAGGCTCATCCATGAGCCTCTTCCTGGTACAATCTTCAATGGAAAATCTTCAAAAACGGTGACATGTGACATTATTGAACACCAAAAATGGTTTGTTGGCTATGAGTCCACCACAAAGTTGTTCTTTATAGTATACATATTGTGGCTTCAGAGACAGATTAGGCCGATATTTGGACTCATTTTTTGTGTAGACAAAGTAGACATGACCGAAGAAAAGTGGAACAGCGGGAACGTACATCATGTCTGGACAAGTCTTTCGAATTGTTTCGTCACATGCTCTGTCTCCACAAAGATCAAGACAGACTGGATCCCGTGTATATGGAACATGAAGGATACACAAAAATGCTGACCAACACTCGTCGAGTACCGATTTCGGCTTGTCCAAAAACATGGCTTCCATGAGTAGGTCACTGGGTTTTATGACGCATGAACTTGCCAAAGGTCGTTTCCAAAATCGATGACTATGCGTACATGTTATATCTTCGCATTCAAATACTGGTTCAGCTATTGCATAGTTGGCACGGTTATCTGTCGCTTTAAAATATTCATCAGATCCATCGAGACAGTCGGGAATGGCAGTGTTGTCTCGAAAAAATGTGCCGGGTATGCATTGCCCATTGATACATCGATATTGATCATCTTCACAGTCGTTGACTTCAAGTTGCCAGCAATGTTCTTTGCCGCGTCCACCATCGAGACAATCCACTTTTCCATCGCAAATTTCGCTCCAATCGAGACATGTCAGAGCTGAACCACGATCACATTGTAAATGAACGTAGCATGTCAGTGTCATCGGTTCGTAACGGTGAAGATAGAAATCGTGAATAATCTCATTCAATGATGTATGATAAGATTTGTAATTATCAAACGTATATCGGCGCATTGGGCCAAAACTTGGCGGTGTACAATTATAGAAGACTTGTGTTGCCATTGATGCTTCATTCGAAATCAAAAGCTGATTCAAGTAGAACTGATAATGTTCAGCAGCATCCATCGCTGCCGATCAAATGTACAATTGTCGACTGGTAATATTCTGTTTGTAAAGCTCCGCAAAGATAAGTTTTCGTTCGCGACTATTACTTTGTATATTCCATTTCGATGGACACTCATTCATACAATAAGAAATGAGCTAACGAGAATCAGTTTTTTTATTAATTGAAGTCGTAACATGTAGACAATTGTGGTATAAAATAGCATCATTCTCGCAATTACTTGCCAAATCTGTGAGATCAAGATTGATTTGAGGAGGAGCACTCACACAATGCAAGATCATGAAACAAAGTAGATTCTTACCAAGCAACATGCTCTATCTCACAAATGATTCAAAATGAATACAGTATAGAATATTTGAAGAATTTTTATTTGCAATACCGTATTTATCCTCAATTCTTCCGTTCTCCGATAAAGCATCTTAGAGCGTTCACTCATAACTCAGTTCATGAAAACGTTGAGCAAACTCGTTTATTTCTGTATCCTGTGCGGAAGATTTACCTTTTAACACAATTTCAAGAAAGCATCAGTACATGATAGCTCACATCTGCCACCATTTCAACTACTGTTCTGTAGTAGATAGCGCAAATGCTCAAATGTTTTACTTATCTATATCTAGCATCATAAAAAAAACGAGATTTTTCCCAATTCAAAACCAATTATTAATTAATTTCTGTTCATTATTATTCAACGTCTTGCGTATTACCGTAGAGTCGAGGTTCTAGTTCTAAGAACTTGATCAGTACTTCAAAAAGTAGATTGGCTAAAATGTGCACGTCGATTGTTTGTTTTCGGTAAGTGTCGTCAGGATGATGACTAGCTATAGTAAATAAAAAAATCATTTGGACACCCTGCGATATGTATAGAGTTCCATACGTTTTACAGAGATCTTGAGTTTTTTAGGTTTGATAAAGCGAAAAGCCTATTCAAAGGGCATTACTCGATAGAGAAAGAAAAACCAATTCAAATTATATCTTTGTTTCCTGAAAATGATTGAAAAAAGTCATACTAATTACTCATTAAAATTAATGTTTCATATAGATCTTCCAATAATTCCGCTTGTAAAGGTGTAAAATCAAATTGAAAATGATTTTCAACGATACCCTTGGGTAAACGATAATTTTTTTTCCTGAATATGATACGGTCTTATTTTTTCATGTACACTTTAATGCAAAATGGAAAGAAAAAAAATTTTCCGTTCTGTTCCTGGTGCACATCATGCTGGTGAAATATACATATATCGACAGAACTGGAAAACGTGCATTTTGTTCTTCTCTCCACTGTAAATTGTATTTGAAAAATCGTTGAAAATAATTTTCAATTTGATTTTACACCTTAAAAACCAAAATTATCGTAAGACCTACATGATATATTAATTTTAATTAGCAATTAAGATGGCTTTTTTCAATCATTTTCAGGAACCAAAGACATAAATAGATTCAGTTTTTGTTTCTCGATCGAATGATGCTCTTTGAGTTGGCTTTTCACCTTATCACACCTAAGGGATGTGGGTGTTGATCTCCTCTTCAGCTACATCCAAGTCTACACCCTGAAAGGTCTTCTCGAGAATATCATAGCCTAGAAACCAACGATTTCTGATAGGTGCCCCATTGCGTTGTTATTAAGAATCATTTCCCAAATAATATCGATAAGTTAAATTATTGCTTCTAATCGTGGTGTGGTGCGATGTCTATCGTAGAGCACTGATTGCTGGACTACTAATTTCTACAGAAAGTAGTCTATCCAGAGATGTACGAGTCCAAGTTTAGTTCCGATTAACAAGATCAAAATTTGAGATTTTGCTGAAATCTTAATAAATCACATCATTCAGAACATAATTTAAGAGAGGTGCTCCAAAAAATGCTAGTCCTAGACTATATAAGTGAAAAACAAGTATTGAAGCCATTTTTTTTAGATGCGATAAGAATAAATTCTGCAATTGGTTTTCTCTTGATCGAGACAAAAAAAGTAGGTCCTGTACATTTCTAGCATTGTCACATGATTTGAATGAGTATATGCCAAAGATTATTCATGCATAAAAAATATCTTAAATTGAATATAAAATATGACTGTGGACTAAGTCAAACAATAAAGAATATATGCTCTATTTTTTATTTAAATAAAGATTTACTTTCTTTGTAAATAAGCAAAAACAGCATCGAGTAAATATTTTCAATAATCAATCGAAAATATTGTCGAAATTAAATTTTTATTCATTATTTTAATAATAGTCCAAATCATTGTTTACAATTAAACACTAAACTACCTATTTGGACAGAACTTGTTGAACTAGTCATAAAAAGTAATGGTCCACATGTATTCAATGACAATGGAGTTTTTGTAGTCAATATTTCATCGCCTTTTCGACACGATTTATCATTGTACACCGTAAATGTTTGCACTGCTTTCGTTTTTTGATCAATTATAAGTTTATACGCAGTTTTATTTGGATAATCTGGAGATAAAGTGCAATTTCCACTATAATTTAATGCAGAATAAGTTCCATTTGGTGATGTTGTACAATTAATAGGATTCAAATTGACCCAATAGGATACATTGCAAATCGGTAAAGAAACAGTGCATGAAACTAGCAGAACAAGAATCAGAGCTCCGAATCTAATCATACTTTTGTCTATGTGAAATTTTTTCTTGAGGAATGAGGCGTTTTATGTCAGCTGGAGATATTTCACGAGTAATAAGAAAATTTGCCTTGCGAGAATGCAATACGTAGATTGAAAAAAAACTGCTATTCTTATCAAAAGAAATTGTTTTTTTCTTAATTGTTCAAGCTTAAGTTAAGAGATATGAATAAAAAAAAAGTTATGATAACTTTCTGATTTAAAACAACATGGTTTCTTAATAGATTATTTATCATTTGTAATTTTAACAAAATGTACAACTCATTGTTTCGTTATAAATTTCAAATTCTTTGACTTCAATTACTCAGTATACAAGAAAAGTATCGAAATTCATATAATATCAAAGCATAGAAAATTTGAGAAAAAAATTGTCTCTATATGTACTTGTAGCACTAAGAATGTGGGATATGGGTGTGAGAGTAAGAAGAAGCTCCATACTCACAGACAAACATTTTACTCATCGACTAAATGAAATGTTTACATTGAATAAATGAAATATCATGTTCAGTCTGTCATGGTGATAATAAAACAACTATCGCTTTAGATCTGACACTAATAGAACTGATGATGATCTTTCTATGGTTTGCTACGTGCCGTAAAAAAATGCATATCCATTGCGAGTTCATACAGAGGGTTGAAATCGACTGACATCTGATACATATAGAAGTTCGATAAGCGACGAAAAACATACACAGAAATTGCATCGGTGACTGCTTTTATATCTGAAGATAATTCAAACACACAGTAAAACTTCTCTTAAATGAATACCGTCGGAACTCCTGAAGCGTTCACTATTGAAAAGTGTTCATTCATGTAAGGTCCACTTGAATATTTATGAATCCAAAAACTTTTCGACAGAGCACAAAGCTTTTCTTTGTTGCGAAGTCTTGTATTATTGGTGTCGTCCCGATATATGAAAATGGGATGGATGTTGCTGCACAATTCATCCATATATTTTCATTGAATTTTATTAAGTCAAAGCTTTTAAATTTTCGTTTAATATTTTGATTTTAGATTGTTTGATACTCATTTAGGTACTTTTTTTCTCTTTGAAATATTGAATACAGAACTAAGTGAAATGCCCCATTTCCCAGCTGTTTCATCTTGTGATTTACCACAACCACCGTTGTTATCATTGATTAATTGAATGTTTTCATTTAATGTAAGCTAATGTGGAGATGTCATTGCTTTCCATAATATGTACAGTTATGAAGAACAATCAACACGAATTTTAGTGCATTAGCCAGAAATGATGAAGAGGATAGAGAAAAGTGTACGCATCTTCATTTGATTGAAAACAGGATGCAGGTGTGAGTCTGGTCGAATAAGATCCCGCATCAACACCAACACCCTGCAGAACTCTGCCAAAACCTTAATAAAACACCTTCTCTAATGTCGAGCTGAATCAGATGACCAGAACGTGTTTATATTTTGTTTTACAATGTGAGTTTTTGATGACTTTCCTAGCAAACCAACTTATTTGGTTCGAAAGCGAGCACAAAAGTATACAAAAATAGCATAACACATAGAGAAAAGTCTGTGTCTGCTACCAAGCCGACTATACAAGACCACATTTATAATTAAAACAATAATCCAGGCGAAATCGCTGATACCGATTAAACATACATCGAATTCGTCAAGTACCGCTCGAATGACACGAACGCCGGCCAGTCGAATTTCCAGCACTTGATACTCGAGTGCATCGAGAATAATACGTTGTTGTTGAAACCAGGTTGACGAGATAGCCATGCTCTGTTTGACTTGATTCAGTATTCTTAACAGACGTAGACCGATCTTCCCAAGTTTGGCTAAGTTTTTCGAAAGAGTCTTAATATCATTATCATCTGTGTGCATATACACGTGATTAGTTTTCGACGAAATGAATACGTCACGTAATGATAATATATCGGCGGTCAACAGCAAACGTCGAATTTGATCGCTCTCGGGCTGAAGCACATCGACAAAGCGATCCAATGGCGTGTGTGCAGGATAGTTCCGTGCGTAGTATCGACGCCAAGCTTCCAACGGTTCGCATAGATCGGCCAAGAAACGTAGAGCAGTCGTATTTTTTGCTATTTTCGATAATTCTTGTAAATATTGCTTGTCATTAGGATGGAAAAAACGAGCATTGATGGTCGTGAGTCGATCATACATGCATTCCATCCTTTCCATCTTCCAGGACCACAACCGTTCGGCAATTGCCGCGGTACGTGGCCAAACACGCGAGCAGACAGTGATAGCACTCACATATTCTTCCCATATGCATGCTTCGCCACCAAGAATGCAGTTTTGTTCTCCGTCCGTGAGAGTACTATCTCCGAGAGGGTCGACATTGTAATAATCGCTGGCCGATTTCAAATGGTCG